GGGACAGCTCGGACACCCGATGGTGAGCCGCATCGCAAGAAAACACGGGGTTTGCTTCACGCCAGCAGAGAATAAAGGTCACTTTTTCAGCCCATGGACAGCTGGGTGTGGCTGTCCCCGAGGCCTCCACGCAGGCAGAGTGTCCGGCCCCATCCAGCACCTGCCTACCAGGACGGCGCACAGAGGTGCCCGGCTCTCAGCCACCGCCGGGCTGGGGCTGCTGCCACGGGAGCTGTGCTCCATGGGTGGGCCATGAGGTTTTCCCAGTCGCTTGTGAGAACTGTGGGTAATGTCATAAAATGACAGCGTGAGACCCAATGGAGCTCTGTTCCCTGCACTGATTGCTTACAGGAGCGTTTTCGGCCCAAGCAACACAACAAGACTCAGCAGCTTTCTGCTAGTTTCTATCCAGAGAGTACAGAGCCTCAACAATATTAAATGTGAGAAAATAACTATTTTATACAGGGGCAAATTAAAGCAGAAGTGCTAAATGGTACCAGCAAGTGTCTCAGTGCTTACACTGGAGGGAGAGATTTCTCCAGCAGTTTTGGTAACCAAACCAACACTGCTGGGAGCGTTCATTTGTCCTTGCTTATGGATTTCACCCCGCTTTTGGGATGCCATGTCCTGGTATCTGTCCACCCCGGCTCTGCCAGATGTGCAGCGTGACAGGGTGTGGTGATACAACCCCCCCAACTCCTTGGGACACTGGTGCCTGGTGCGATTCTCCCCTTCCTGGATCATAGTTAATCAGGGTGAGACAGAAAGGAACTGTGAAGTTGGGTACTCAAGGGTGCGGTGTCTCTTTGATATCTCTGATTCCTGCTTCCCCTTGTGAGTGGTGACTCAGAGCGTTGTGCACCCGACAAAGTGCCTGGTACTGGCCTCAAAAAAATCACCTCTTAACAACCTGGTGCACCTGCATTGGGCAGGTGTCTGAGGGGGATGATACACTGTGGTACCAGAACATCACACCCTCCGAGATCGGCCAAAGTGCATGAGTACCCGACAAAAGTCCATTATCTCAGACGCTATAAATAGTGACCCAAAGCGAGACCCTTGGAGCTCTCCTGGGTCGCAGTGGGCTGTGTCCAGCATCTCCCCAGAGCTGGGACACCTCTCAGGACCATCTGCCAGCCAAGGTCACATTAGGCTTGGGCAAAGTTCTACTTCTCAAGGCTCAGCCATTGCCAGCTGAGAAATGCCAATGCATTGTGAGTATCTAACCCGAGAAGAAAAGAGAGAACCTTTAACTCTGGGCTGGTCTCCTCTATTTACCTCTCTTATGAAGGGAGAAGGGAGAACCCTTTTATACACCAGCACCCCTGCTTACATATTTTACTGGATCCATATGTTTTGTGTTGATTGTTTGTGTTTTGCGTGCTTTGTACGTACATACATGTATATATATTTAGAATACTTCCAGTTAGTGTGATCCTTGTCATTCTCAAACCTGTAAAGTCACTATTCTAATGAAAAGCATATTTCCACTGCAGCACTTTGTTGATCTTAAACCTTTGATTTACCTCACACCATCAATAAAGCTCAAATTACCACTGAATCATAAACTGTGTGAGAGCTTTCATCCATGCCAGGGCAGGGCAGGGTCCGTGGGGCCACCGTGCTGTCCCCAGAGCCGTGCCCGAGCCCCGCAGCGGGGCAGGCAGGCGGGTATCGCCCTGCAAGCAGCCAGGGAGGAAGAGGAGGAGGAGTTAGAGCTGGCTGTGGGCAGCCTTCCCAGGCAGCCTGCCCAGCTCAGGGCAGAGCAGGTGGAGGGACGAAGGGACGAGGGGAGATGGAGTGGCTGAGCACGCGCTGCCCGCTGCCGCCCGCCGCCCAGGGCTGCTCCCGGCCCAGCCGGACCACCTTGCTGCTGGTAAGTGGGAGCCATCCCGCCTGGCTCCACGGGAAGGGTGACGGGAATGAGGGTCAGCCAGCGGGAAGGGTGACGGGTGGGAACCCAGGCAGCCCTGGAAATGCCTCTGTCCCTGTAGAAGGGAGGTTTTGAGCAACCTGGGCTAGTGGAAGGTGTCCCAGCTCATGGCAGGGGGGGGGGAACTGGATGAGCTTTCAGGTCCCTTCCAACCCAAACCAGTCTGGGATTCTGTGATTCTATAATAATGGAACCTCTGCAAAAAAACAAAAACAAAAAACAAACACAAAAAAGGGCAAAAAAGATCATGCAGGAGGAATGTATTCTCAGTCTCTGCAGAGAGCAAAGCAAATTTCTTACAAGTTTTTTTCCACTTGCACTGGGGAAGCTCACAGCAGACTCGGGATCGCCACAAGTTGTGTTTAGTTTGCTTGTTTGGGGTTTTTTTTTGTTTCTTTTTTTGGTACAGAAGCTCATCAAAACTAAGCAAAAAGTCCTAACCTGGTAATTTAAACTCCTAAAGCTGTTTTTAGTTCGCAGATCTTGCAGAAATCTTCGTCACTCTAAACTCGTATCATTTTGCTGCTCAGTGCTTTTCAGTGAAACACCTAAAATCTCACAGCAGGTTTTTCAGCTTTGTGTATTTCAACATTTTGTCAGCCATGAGTTTATTCAGTTTATGAGACAGGAGTGCTGAAGTTTCAGTCCTTCACTTTTGCAGCATCCTTTGGCAAATACAATTATTCTGAAAAAAAAGAAAAAAATGGGGGGGAGACTTTTTCTTTTCAGAAAAAAAAAAGGGAGAAAAAACCCAAGAGGGTGGTCACTGTTGTTCTAATATTCAGTCCCAAATGTTCAAGGGGATTTCCTCGTCACATGCACATATATCTTCCAAGAAGATTAATGGTTGCCATGCTGAACAGGTCGGATTTTCCTTTCCTGAGCAGGGAGCATGATTACATTCTAATCTGGAAAAATAGATACACCACCGTATCTCTGTTTGGCTTGTAACTATTGGAGTCGTTTCTGGGATTTGTTGCATAATATTTGATAAATGGCTTAGCGGAAAAAAAGAGCGTAAAAGAAGCTCTAAAAATTATTATGAGAAACCTTGTGATAACAAAGGACATTTCCTCAAATGGATTGGAAAAGACCAGACAACCAATATAGCACAGCAGTCATTTTCCAAACGGAGAAGAACTCCTGTCTTTGTGGTGACAAGTGAGATGGGGTTTTTTAATTCAGTCTTTTAAAAAAAAAACAAAAGCAAAAACTGACATCGGCTCTGTTTTTTTCAGAGGGCAAAAGAGGGTGGAAATAAGGGAGGAAAAGGAATATATTCTTAGTCTTATATGCATTTTTTTTATCACTGTAGTTGAATAAGGGACAGATGCTGTTTATTTCAAAAACAAAAGACAAAGCAAAGAGCAGCTGTGCAGAACAGTGCCGCCCCGGGTACGGGCACCATCCTTCGGCTGTTACTCAGCAAACCTCGCTATCCCAGCAACGTCCCTGCTGACATCATTACATATCTGTATGTGACTGTGTTTATGGTGTGTGAGTGCAAAGAGCAGCTGAGGGGCTTGCCAGGAACAGCGTCTAATGTACAGCAAAACCAACTTGTTGCCACTGCACTGCCAGCCCACGGAGAGAGTGAGCTTGTTTTCTGCAGCCCAGTCAGACAGAGACAGCCCTACAGACCTGGGCTGGGGCCGTTGGGATTTCGGTGCCCAAAAGGATCCGATTTCACTCTCCTGTTAGTAGAAGATAATTAATATGACATGAACTTAAAACCTGCATTACAGCCCTAGCCCCCCTTGCCTGCTGTGCGGGTCTGTATCGTAGCCTGGTGGGCTGCAAAACATCCCTCAGCAGAAGACAGGAGTCATCGTGGGCTGGCAGGGCAGGGCAGGACGAAAGCTCCCCAGGTCCCAGCACAGACTGCATTACTCCAGGCTTCCCATGGCTCCAGTCCTGCATCAGGCTCCAGCCTAAATCTTTCCCATGGCCAGATCCCTATCCCTACCTAAAATAACCACTCTCCTCCTTTCCACACCCCCGGGGAGGCAGGGAGTCCCATCCCCACCATTTCCCAGAGGTGTGGACATGCCTCACCCTGGGCACCCAGCCAAAGGGTGGCTGCAGGCTGTAAAAAAAAAAAGAAGATTTCCTTGGTGTCGGAGCCACGCCTGCTGGGTCCCTTCTTGCCCTGAGCACTTGTCACGGTACTAGATTGGCCCCACTGGAGGTGAATGAATCTCCTTATGAACATGTTTTCACTTAAATTACAACTAGTGTTACTGTAATGTTGAAAGAAAGAAGACTGGAGGCTTCCCTGGAGCCCCAGATGATGTAAAAGCTTAGTTTTACAAAATGCAGTATTTCACCTAACAGCACCACTCATCTATTTTGCATTTCAGGTGGTGACTCTGTCCCTGCTGATGTACCCGGTGCTGAGGAGTCTCGCTCTTCAGCTGCACTCTGCCATCACTGGTAGCTACATCTCTGGGACACACTCCATCGCCTTCATCAACTGTCTCAACGAGCAGATTGCCAAGGACATTGCAAGGTACACAGACCCTTTCACTGCTTCTCTGCTTGAATCGTTCAAAAGCAGCTTCCTGTGGACGAAAGCCTTTCCTCGGCCCTCGGGAGGAGCTGTACTTCTCTGTACTTTGCACTTCTACCCGCACGGCGCTCCCTTTCTCTTACACTCTCTCTCTGTACCACATACCCACTTGCCAAGAGCTGTGCTTTCTAAAAGAAAGCTGCCAATTGCCTCTGCAGGCAATGCCACAGTAACATCAAGCCAATGCTCAGCTTATTCCACTGCCTTTAGTTTTCAAGACCCATTTTTAAGCCATGACCCTAAATCTCTGGGTCCTCAGATGGATTAAGCCCCAGCCCCATGTTCTCTGATCTGCCAGAGTCTTTCTTCTTCTCTAGAACAACACAGACAACAAATTCCAGGAGAGGTGTTTCTGGAGAGGGACAGAGCACAGTACGCTGCTATGAAAATAAATAAAAAAGTGGTCCACAGCAAACCCAGAACAGGCACTTGTGAGGTACCACCCGGAAGCCTGTACTCTGCTCACCAGACGCACTTCAGGGACTGAGGGCTTTACCTTGAAGTTTTTTTCTCTCTTTTAATATCTGAGATACTTTGCATTATTTTTTGCATGTACCACCTGGAAGCCTGTACTCTGCTCACCAAATTTCAGGGGAATGAGGGCTTTACCTTGATTTTTTTTCCCCCTCTCTTTTAATGTATGAGATACTGTGCACCATATTTTGCAGGCAGAGGGGTTTTTTTCACATATTTGTCAGTCCCTGACTCAATAGATGGTTTGTTCAAAGTACTGAAACTGTGTTGACTGGGGAAATGTTTATGATGGACCATTAAGTTTCTTGCAACACCTCCTGCACTGTTTTCCCTGCTGCTTGCCAAAAAGTCTCCTTCTTCTGTAAAGCGTTCCCAAGCAGTCGTTCAGGAACTGACAGGCTACTGAAAGGGATTTTGTGTCACCTTAAATACTGCAACTGTATTAAGAAATTCAAATAGAATAATATCTGCACTGCTTGATGTCTTCTGAAAAAAGGAGTAACTGTACGTGGCTGGTGAAAAGAGCCCTCAGTTCCTGAACGTGCTTCATCTTAACAGCTTTGCAACTGTTTTCCACTCTTTGTTCTTTATCTTGCAGGGAAGGGAGAGGAAATAAATCACTCCCCATTGCTGAGAGATATGTACTTTGGTTGCATTTTTACCGGTGGAGTAATTATTCCTTTGTTGTAGAATTTGGATGAATGAGCTGTGGTTGTAAAGGATGACACAGGGCTTCTACACTTATTTTGCCACCCACCATTTTCCTGGTGCTGTCGTGTTTGTTCTTCCCTTGCACTGCTTGGTGGAGCACTCGCTTCGACAGATCAAACTGCGAGGAAAGTTTATGCTGTTTTTAAGGAAGAGGAGTTCAGGGTTTGTGAAAGCAGATTAGCTGCAGGTAGAATTCAGCGTCTGGCTTGTTGGTTGCATCAGTCTAACCCAGTTTATCTGGATTACTATTAACTTCAGATCCTCAGAAGAAACCCCAAGTCCACAGAGATCTCACCTCTTCCCTGTGCCTGCTGCGAGAAGTTGAGCCCTTTGGGTTGGATGCTGTGGCCGTTGCACCTCAGATAACTTAGCCAACACCCAAGCAGCCTGTCAGCCTCCAGTTATGCCTTAGATATCATTTTCTTTGCTTTTCTGCTTATTAATATTTCATCTCTTTCAATTCAGATCCTTTTGTGAGGCCAAAGGACAAAGAAACACACATTAAGTACCCAACCCAAAGATATCATGTATTATGCAGACGTTTTTCCACAGATCACGTTCAGCTTCTTAGAACGTTTCCCGTTCCCATGGTGGCCGCTTGTTTCCGCTCAGCTTGCTAGAACAAAGTTCAAGATCTCAGTTAGGATCCCAGTTTATTGGGACAGAGCAGAAGCAATTAGAAGGTACTCACCCAAATCAAAAGATTCCTCTGCTGAAGTGACTTGAAAGTCACAGGCAGCAAAAACAAAATGATTTGTGCCATGTGTTTGACATGATAAACACAGCAGGGATATCTCCGCTCATGCTGACACAGTTTGTTGGTCTACAGATTAACTCAAGATGCTCTACAAGCATTAAATGCCTGGAACTGGCTACATGTGGTGAGAGCAAACGACCGAGAGCCTCCTTGGATGGTTGTCCTCTCAGGCCATGGTTCCTTTGAGAAGTCCATCTCCATCACCTTGCTGTGTTTAAACATTAAATCCAATCCCATGAGTGAGCTGGGTCCAGGCACTGGTTCTCCAGTGCGCTGCTGGAGTGGCGAGATGTTGTAGGATGGTTGGGAAGAGCTGCTTTCCTCCCAGCACCCGGGCTGCTCCTGATTCCTCCCTGCCCTGCAGCAGAGCCTGTGCAGCCCCATGAGGGCACCTTCACCTCGCACCCATAGTCTCAAGGCATAAACCTCTACAAAGAGAGAGAGAAAGCAGGGCTGGTAAGGAAGATGTGCAAAGGAGCTTATGCACGTTCCAACAAGAGCCCAGGTCTCCTTATGGGTCAGAGGCCAGATGCAAGGCATGAGGCAGCTGCACATTAGCACCTTGGCTGGGGTGTCTTCAGGTCACTGCCATGGAGGAGGCACCTCTTGTGCTCCTTCTGCTTGTCTTCGGGAGCACAGTGGCCAGTTTGTTTTGTAATTGCCTCCAGTCTGTACCATGGATACAAGGACAATACATTTTTAACTTGCTCTGAGCCAAAAACTTCCTGGAGAGTGCTTTGGATTGGAGCAGAAGTTAATTGGGATGGTTTTAATTCTTTAGCTCACTAAGGGTTAATTTTTACAAGTTGTTGAATTGAGCTTTCCGGTATCTAATAACTCCTGCCTTCTCTGCAGTCCAAGGTCATCTAGAAGTTCTATATTTGCATTGTCGGAGCACTTGGTACAATGTAGTGCCTGGCACACCAGTGTCAAAGAAAACCAAAGGTCAAGTCAGCAGTGCAGCGCCTTTAACAGAGCTGCCTGCAAGAGGGACGGGGCTGCCATCTCTGAGAAGGGCTCAGACATCGCTGTGGCCAGAAAACACTACATTTGACCTATTTCTTCTAAAAATCCACCCTGAGATTGCTTCAGTACTCTTTAATCACTTAAATATCACTTATGCTGGCAGGCCCGAGCAGCTCTGCAATAACAAATCAGCCCACAACTAAAGGAGGCAGCCCGAGGGAAGAAATTTATTTGGGCTTCAGATTTCTAGGACATTTTGGGTAGAAAAACCTTGATGTTGTTAATTTAACAAGATCCACATTTAGTCTGCTGCGTGAAGAAGAGGCACAGTTTGACAGCAGAAACACATGACTGAGAGACAAACCCCTTGGTGTCCGTCCCAGCCCTGGTTCTCGTGGCCCCATGGCTCAGCTCCTGCCCTGGTGTCCCCACAGTGAGATGGGCACAGAGCTGCTGCTGGGCAGGGTCCTTGTGCTGTGCAGACACAGGTCCCATGTGCTGCTCTGGGCCAGGAGTACCACCAAGCCTTCCTGCTGGGTTAGGGGGACAGTGGGGACAGTCCCAGAGCCAGGAGGAACTGAGCTGAAGCAGCTCCAGCTGGAGGTCACCTTTGCCTCTGCTTTCCTGGGATAATAATTAACCCCATCTCTCCCATCTCCAATGTCAAAGCTGGTGCTGGTGGTCAGGAGCAGCACGAGGGAATGTCCCCATGCCTGGGGGGAAGCACGGAGCCGCAGCAAGCTGGGGACAGGCACTAACTCCCCCTCCTGTCTCACCCAGGGCCATCATGGATAAGAAGCTGGCTGCCTGCGTGAACATCCTGCCAAAGAGCTCGGCCTTGTAAGTTGGGCTGAATATTCCCCAAGGGAGGAGGCAAATCTGGGCTACCCAGGTGGGGAGGGAGGAGATGGACACCCTGCAGCCCCAGGGAGAGGAGGGTTTCCAGGAGGCTGTTGGGTCTGTTTGTTGTTGCAGATGGTAGAGATGATCCTCACCCGTGCAGAGTGCTCTAAGCTTATTAGAGAGTGCAGATGCTCCAACTGCCAGTGGGGACCATTTATTTATTGGTTACTTAGCTACACAGAGACCTAGGAAAGAGCAAGGTGATTTATGGTCCTGAGAACATAGCGCTGGTTTTTAGAGGGCCTAAAAAGAAGCTGAGATTGGGACCAGAAAAGGTCCTATTTTTACAATAAAAAGCAGGACTTTCAGGAAGAAAGAAGAATGAAACTCAGTAATACCCCTCTTAAACCCAGAAATACCCCTCTTAACCCAGTAATACCCCTCTTAAACCCAGTAACACCCCCCTGAAACTCAGTAATACCCCTCTTAAACCCAGAAATAGCCCTCTTAACCCAGTAATGCCCCTCTTCCCCTTACACTTGGTTCCCACAATGGCCAGTCGAGTTGCTCACACAGCCCTGCCTGCTCCCGCTGCTTTCTCCTCCATGTCCCGCTCGGGAGACACCGCGACGCCTCCGAATGCCTCCTCGTGCAGCAACCCAGCGCGCAGATGAAATCATGATGGCCTTCTGTCAACATAAATGTTTGGAAAGGTCGTATCTGACTCATGAGAAGTACATCTCCTCTCCTGCAGG